GCAGACTACAATATTGTGAATATCAGTTCAAAAATCATTCAATACCATTTGGTATCTACAAGGATATGTTGAATTGACAATGTGTCAACATCCAGCATCCACTGGAAACCATATATAATGTATATATAGGGTATATTTAATGCAAACCAACACCCCCTATCATTTTTGCTGAAATCTTTCGATGTATACAGGTGACAATTCTAATCTAGTCATTATCAAGTCATTGCTTAATAATGACTAGAGAAGCCTAGCCGGAGTGTTGCTCAGTAATTGTATTCCATAGAATTGTCACCTCCATATTCCAGTTCAATTACTAAATGCCATTGAAACATGGGTCTCTTTTGATCTGATTGAATGTAAACTCGAAAGATTATCTATGATTGATAATTTAAATGGGGTACCATACAATTACAATACAAGTGCAGATAATAAAAAGTCTATTGTCAATTTGTGTGGAATTGAATGATCATGTATACCGAATACCCTACCTTTCATTGTGTAAAATCTTGTAATATTCTGAGTTGATATCATCAAGAATCTGTCGACTAGTCTCCATAGATCCCTAATTTTGTTGACTAATCTCCATAGATCCCTAACTTTGTCGACTAATGTCCATAGATCCCTAACTGTATAAGGTTAAACGTTTCAATTCTACAAGGTTTTATCTTTTTATGAACTTTGAACTTTTCAATTTTTTTGCATACCGTTTGATAACTTCCTCCTTAATTTAATCTGATAAAAATCTACTACATTTACTTATCAAAACATGGATGACATCAATTTGATAAGTTATAGATCTGCTATCAATATGCTATTCAAAGGATCGGAACACAATAGTTACATCCCCTTATCTCGCTACCCATTTGTAGTGCTTAATCTATATATAGCAATTCTCTTTTGTCATTTTTGTTGATTTTTTGAGTACAGAATTGAAGAGGAGGGTTTGAATTGAAGTTTTCTCTCTGGGTTTTGGTGAAAATTCATTATTTAGGAGCGGGAGGATAACACAGTAAGGAGTTTATTAAGGTGATATGTACAGTGGGTAGTTACATGTTTATAGTTCGCTTCTTCATGTTTATTGTGTATCTCAAAACTTCTTGTAGTCACCCTCATACAAACTTTGGAACAAAGACAAGGCTATTTTTTTTACTCTATTTGTAGTGAAAAGTTTTCAGACCAATCAAAATTTGGAAAAAAGTTGGAGCCAATAGTGCGATCGTTAATGTAAATCCGTCGGCTTTTCGGGTAGAAATTGTGGAATAAGCTTTATTTTGTAGGTTTTGATGTTTGATTACCAAAAAACAATGTTGACATTTTTTTTGAGTAGGTCTTCACAGTATGGGAGGCCATTATTTGAGGGTAGACATTTTGCCATAATATTCCAAATTATTTTTTATTTTCACCTTATTTATAATGTTATCGACATATTAACTGTGATTTGGCAATGTATTAATATTGGCGGCATTCATGACTATATCTCATATTGTTTTCCATCGTTTCATGATGATATTTCCAAGATGGCGCCCATTTTTAGCGGGAAAATCGGTCGATGTGCTGATTTCGATTAAGTAGTAGTGTTTGGTGTCAATATATATGTTTTCGGGGTCACAAATTCCATTCCTGACCTTTACAACCTTGTAAAATGATCACGTTCATATACTTAGCATATTACCAAGATGGCGGGCATTTTTGGCAGGAAAATGAGACGATGTGCAGATTTTGATTAAGTGGTAGTGTTTGGTGTCAATATATATGTTTACGGGGGCGCAGAATCAATTTCTGACATTTACAACCTTGTAAAATGATCACATGTTCACATATTTAATATATTTCCAATATTGCTGCCACTTGTGGCGGGAAAATCGGACGATCGGTTGATTTCGATTAAGTAGTTGTCTTTGGTGACAATATATATGTTTTCGGGGAGGCAGATTCGATTTCTGTCATATACAACTACGTAAAATGGTCGTATGTTCACCAATTTAGCATGTCGCTATGCTATTTTTGCCTTCATGCCAGGAATAGGCTTTACTTTCCCAGGAAAATCGATGATAAATAAATGCTAATAATGTGTTTAGAAAATGTCCTGCCACAAACAAAAATATGCTGAATGTGTGAACATACCACCATTTCACGCAGTTGTAAATGGCAGAAATCGAATCTGCGCCCCCGAAAAACAAATATTGACACAACAACGCGACTACGTAATCAAAATCAGCACATCGTCCCATTTTCCCGCCCAACATGAAAGCCATATTGGAAATATGCTAAATATGTGAACATGTGATAATTTTACACAGTTGTAAACGGCAAAAATGGAATCTGCTCCCCCAAAAATATATCTTGGTGCCATAGACGACTACTTATTCAATATCCGCACATCGTTCCATCTTCCCGCCAAAAATGGCCGTCATATTGTAAATGTGCAAAATAATCATTTTACACAGTTGTTACTGACCGAAATGGATTCTGTGCCCTTGAAAACATATTGTAAATGTGCAAAATAATCATTTTACACAGTTGTTACTGACCGAAATGGATTCTGTGCCCTTGAAAACATATATATTGACACCAACGACGACTACTTAATCAATATCAGCACATCGTCCTATTTTCCAGCCAAAAAATGACCGCCATCTTGGAAATATGCTAAGTATATGAACATGTGATCATTTTACAAGGTTGTAAATGTCAGGAATGGAATCTGTGGCCCCGAAAACATATATTTTGACACCAAGCACTACTACTTAATCGAAATCAGCACATCGTCTGATTTTCCCGCCAAAAATGGTCGCCATCTTGGAAATATCATACTGAAATGATGGAAAACAATCTGAAGTATAGTCATGAACCCTGCCAATATTAATACATTGCCAAATCACAGTTAATATGTCGATAACATTATAAATAAGGTGAAAATAATAAAATAAGTTGGAATATTATCGCAAAATGGCTACCCCCAAATAATGGCGTCCCATACTATGAAGATCTACTCAGAAAAAATGTCAACATTGATTTTTTGTAATCAAACATCAAAACCTACAAAATAAAGCTTATTCCATGATTTCTACCCGAAAAGCCGACGGATGGGAATTATGTAACAAACCGAATCCGACTACAAGCAGAGAGATCAGAATTAATGTGAAAGTCAATGGAGAAATTAAATGTGGTCTGCATCCGACTTATATAAATGGATTGTCTCCCTTTAGTCTTCAAACATATCCAGGTTTCTTACTTAAAATTCTTGTCACTTGGCCAATGTTTATTTTGTCGCTCTGAAGTCATGTCTACATTTAGATAATTTGAAATGAGACTGTCTGATGATTTATTTCTAGGCTTCACTACCGGTACTAGAAACTAATCCTGAAAATCGATTATATGAAATAGTATCCGCTTATACAACAAATGAAATGAAATAAAATGGCGTTTAATATCCGACTGCTATACTCCGACTGGGCTAATGAAGAAGGGCGCAAGCCATACAGTATATGCTTTAGTATGAGGGACATTTTGCCTGGGCAGCCATGCAACGGTCTACTGTTATATTGAATTCCAAATGCCAAGGGATCCCCTTATACCACAATGTATGGCATATGCTTGGATTAAATAACCCAGTCAATGCAGTAAAGTAGGAGCTTAAATCCCATTTCATTCATTCATTCTTATAGGTTGTGCTGGCTTGATTATAGCATCTGAAGGGGGATGCTGAATGTTGGAAACTTGTCAATTAATCATATCTTTGTAAATACTGAATGGAAATAAGCCATGTATGCACTGTCATTTCCCTTAGAGATTCAACTTTCACAATATTGTATTTTATAACAACAGCAATAGAGGATGACGACAACTCTCGTAAAGTGTGGTCTGAGTGGATGATGACAACTCTCGTAAAGTGTGGTCTGAGAGGACGACAACAACTCTCGTAAAGTGTGGTCTGAGATAGCCGGAGACTAGTGATCGGAAAACATCTGTACTGGGATGTCAGCGATACACAGGGGTTCATATAGAACACGATATGAGATGAGACACAAACGCAGTAAACAGTACAAGTCAGACAAACTCCAAGGGTGTGATGAAGAGGTTTCTTGATAATCAGACGTTTCTGACATAAGGAGTCCTTCTTCAGTAATGGCGAATAATCGAAAAACATGCAGTTGTTATCTCAAGTTGTTTAACTTGTTTACATTATTAGTTATATATAAGTTGTTAATATTTATATCTTTTTAAAACCGCCCAGTATTTATAACACCAAATAATCTTATTTATTCGGCCATAATTCTTTCAATTTCTTCAATAGCCATCCTGATCACTCCTAATTACTCTAAATCATTCCTCAACGTTCCTTTGATGTCACAATCATTTTAGTATAAATACTGCACGTTTTTCGATTATTTACCATAATAAGAGAGAGAAATGGGGTTTAACTTCCACATAACACAAACTAGGTCATTTCGGGCCTAACACATGGTTCAATTTCATTTGAATACTTCACTTGCGCGTAGGGGTCATTAACAGTGGAAGGAAACTGGAGGACCCGTAGAAACCCCATGAGGTTGAACAGGCAATCCTACTCCTTGTCACGTACATACTGAAGAAGGACTCTTGTCTCTTTATGTCCAAAACATCTGATTATCAATAAACCTCTTGATCCCACCAATGGAGTTTGTCTGACTTATACTGGTTACGGAGTCTTGATCGTGTAGGTCTGATTATTTAATTATACAGGACAATAAGGGACAAGAGACTTGATAATGATGTAAACTGTGTTTACTTTTAACATCGGGTTCGAGGTGAAGGCCTGAGTTTTTTCTATCAACTAACAACTCTTCTCCTGCTCCCTCTCAAGACTTAACCAAAATGTATTACACCCCCCCCCACCCCAACAATTTTTTTTATTGCAAATTCAGATGAATCACGAGAACGACCCACAGACAACTGTAATAGCGGAAATCTGCTAAAAAACGGAAAAAAATCATGCCTGATTATTAAAGCCAACTTACCTGGTTGGGTCTGTATTATCCTTGCCCACCTTTAATCCAAGTTTTTCGAGAAAGGAATCTGGGATACTGGGACTAACATCATCATCTGAAGGTGGAGGAGGAGTCAAACTTTTATCGAAATCATCAGGTAAGTTGACAGAGTAACGGCTTTGATTGGAAACCTCACCTTGTTCTGGTAATTCAGGTAACTTCATGGTTTTCATCTGTTCACGTTTTTTAGCCAGATTTGTCTATAAATAGAACAGACAAAAATAAAAATTAAGGAATGAAATGAAATGTTTTTTTTTTTCCATTTCATTCCCTAATAAGTGGGTAAGACGCTGGCTCGCTAGCCTGGAGGTCGGGTGTTCAATCCCTGCATTGGCTGAGAAAGTTCATCCCGTTTTTCAGCTTGGTTCCCCTTGTCAGTGATGCAGAACGGAGGGCCTGACAAGGTCAGCTGTCTAGTCGTTCGGATGGAAATGAAATGAAATGGAGTTTAACGTCCTACTGTTCTGCTCCTAACCTGGGCTAATGAAGACGGGCATACGCCATACAGTGTGCTATGAGGGAAATTTTGCCCGGACAGCGACACTACGGCCTACTCTTATATCGAATTCCAACTGCCAAGGGATCTTTCGTTCGGATGGGACGAAAACCGAGGTCCTGTGTACACATTGGCGTGCACGTAAAAGGTCCCTTGACAGTTGGAATTCGATATAAGAGTAGGCCATAGTGCCGCTGTCCGGGAAAAATTTCCCTCATAGCACACTGTATGGCGTATGCCCGTCTTCATTAGCCCAGTTCGGAGCAGAACAATAGGACGTTAAATGAAGATGGGCATAAGTCATGCAGTGTGCTTATGGCTAGCATCCATTAACTTGATTTGATAGTGTTCTTATTATCAATTACTTACAATGTCAGTGTGCTATGAGTGTCCATGGGTTTGGTGTGGTGTGGTTCTCCTGCATTTAATATTGTATATGCCCTACCTCAAAGCCCTAATTTCTATCAATGTAACCTCATAGAACTGACTCAGTTCGACTGTGCCACTCCACTCTACGACCAAAGTCAACTAAGGCGTATGGTGACAATGATTTTATGGAATAGGCTGCCCATGGACTTGAGGGTCATAGAAATTTTTAATTCTTTTTAGAGAAGCGTACTTTAACTGAGCTCCATTGTTATTTTCATTAGTGCCAAGCTTTTTACTTTTCTCTCATTTTTACCTTTATAACTATTGTAAAACATTTTGAACTGAAATGTAATGGGTTCAATATCCTACTGTTCTGCTCCGACTGGGCTAATAAAAATGGGCATATGCCATACACTGTGCGATCAGGGAAATTTTGCCCGGACAACGGCACTATGGCCTACTCTTATATCGAATTCCAACTGTCAAGGGATTTTTATGTGCACACCAATGTCTCATCCAAACGACTAGACAGCTGTCCTGGTCAGGCCCTCCGTCCTGTATCACTGACAAGGGGGAACCACACCGGAAAATCTGGATGAACTTTCTGGGCCTATGCAAGGATCGAATAGCTGACCTCCAGGCTAGCTAGCCAGCGTCTTACCCACCATGACCCCCAAAGCATTTTGAGATTTTATGTAAATTGCTATATTAAAATAAAAATAAGGAAAGGGTATTTTAACTGAGTACCATTGTTATTTTCCTAAGTGCCATTCCTTTTACTTTTCTGTCTCATCTTACCTTTATAATTGTAGTAAAGCATTTTACGATTTTTTGTAAATCACTATATTAAAAATAAATTATTATTTTATTTTATACCACAAGTTGTAACCATCCACAGTCTACTTACAATTATATATACACCACATAAGTTGTACCGTAATATAAACCCCCGACAAGAACCATCCACACTCTGACTATAGAGATCAGTAGACTATTATTTATACCACAAGTTGTACTGTAATATACACCACAACAAGAACCATCCACACTCTACTGACTAGAGATCATTTACAAGTTACAATTAACAAACTGATCTGTTGATCAAGGTTAAAGTGATATGACGTGAATCCATATTCTCATGCTAAATCCATATTCTGTTAAATTTTTTTTTTTTTTTACAAAAATTGACACGTAAGTGAAGGACTATTGAAGGAGTTTTGAAGGACTAATAAAGCCGTCAAGTCATCATTTTACAAAAATAAACTTGTATAAATATATAAATTATGATGATGATTATCTATGTGGATGATTTATAACGTGTTAACTTCTGTCTTCTTGAATAATTCTAATGCACAGAGGGTGATTTTTATCTTTTAAACGCAGACATGATTCTCTATGCACCCACCACCAGAAAGCAGATGATTGAATTAGAGATGTTAGTCCTAAAATAACCTAGTCTGTGCTGAGTGAACTGAAAAATGGACCATGTTACAATAAAAACTGTTATTTATTTGTCAGTGTGAACATTGCCTTAGACTATATGATATAGTATGTTGCCAGAGTGAACACAGCCTTAGACTAGATGATATAGTATGATGTCAGTGTGAACATCGCCTTAGACTTGATGATACAGCATGATGTTAGATTGAACATAGCTTTAGAATAGATGATACAGCATGATGTTAGATTGAACATAGCCTTAGACTAGACGATGGTAGAGTGTGATGCCAGTGTGAACCTAGCCTTAGACTAGATGATATAGTATGATGTCGGTTTGAAAATAGCCTTAGACTAGATGATGATATAGTATGATGCCAGTGTAAATCTAACCCTAAGACTAGATGATGCAAGTGTGAACCAGCCTTAAACTAGATATAGTATGTCAGTGTGAACCTACCCTTAGACTAGAGTAGATGATGATGCCAGAGTGAGCATAGCCTTAGACTAGGTGATGATATATATAGCATGATGCCAGTGTGAACATAGCCTTAGACTAGATATTGTATGTCAGTGTGAACCTACCCTTAGACTAGATGATGATGATATATAGCATGATGCCAGCTGAGTGATGACTATCTGCTGTAACCAAGGAATGTAAACAGAAATACAGTAGGTAATATATAAGAACTTACACCTGGTAATATATTAGAACTTACAAAATATAACCAGTACCTTGTATTATATAGACCCGGTCAAAAGGAAGTGCATATACATATAACTATATATTATTTTTATATACACACCCTATTATATTAAAGATGTATTATCTGCCTATTGTAGACATTTATTAACACGACAAGCCTCTAATCATTTTTCTAGAACATCAGATGACAGAGATTTAAATGGATTGAAAAATGATCACGTCATTTAATGAATTTATTTAAAAATGATGAATCAAGGATAAACCTCAATTAACAAGTACCACTGCTACGATAATAAACATCTTGTCAAAATTTCAATCAGCTCATAATAAAGTAATATGAATGAAATTTTCGATATATTCATTTTGCATTATCTATTATTGAACTATTATAGCAAGAACTTTCAGCTATTTAACTAATCTTACATAATGCCCCTTTAAAATACAGACTGTTATTACACATGTAACTCACGGTCTTTGAAATAAGTTTCAGTATGCAAATTAATTACTAAACTATAAAATATATTAAACTTGTCTAAAAATTGTCCAGTGCCCACTCCCTACCCCTCGACTTATTAAATTTACCCTTGATATCTGACATTCATTAAAAATGGCATCACACAGAACCACTCTCAGACTCTCTATGTCACTCCTGTATTTTTCTAGTAAGATTGAGTGTCCTTACTTTTAGTGAATGTAACTACCTGGGAATGTATCTTTAAGAAGAATCATATTAACGACCCTATAAATAATTTCTTGAGAATGTATCTTTAAGACGCGCCTCATTAACTACTGATAATCATGTCAGGAAGTGATTAAGTAAAATTCAGTGACCCAGAACGAGTAACGATATATTAATTAAATAATTATACAAATTAACTATCACATAGTGAGAAGTAATATTTTGGCACCAACTAGGCAGGCGTGACAAAAACAAGAAATAACTACCTTATATTATAAATTATAGTCACATCCTGGTATCCAAATTTCTTTCCATGTTAACACAACAGCAATTAAATCAGAAAAATTCTTAATAAGAAAAAGACACAACTGCTATAACAGGTTGATGGTTGTACGAAATTATATCTTGAATAGTTTAAGAGATAGATGTATGCTCCAGAAATAAAACTAGGACAAAGCCTAATTAACTTTACAAGGTACAGGCCTATAAAAGTTTTAATTTGGAAATCCTAATGGTATTAATAATAATTTGGCATTAAGAATTTGTTTTGCACAAAATGTCTTATTGATTTACAGTATGGGAGATTAGATAAAGAGCTGTTCGTTCTCATTATAATAGTTGAAAAATAGATACGTAAATAGAATATATGCTGAACAGTTCAGTCAAATTGCTCCACTTTGAACCACGATATTAGCTTTTGAATTTTAGGCTAGCCTCGATCATCATTACTAAAGTCGATACGATAAAAAGCAAAGTCTTGATTATCCATTTTTACGTTTAATTATTTAAAAAAAAAAAAAAATTTCAATGTGCTAAATATGGCAGGCGAGTGATGGCATCAAGAGTTGATTATGGTCTGGATAAATTAACTAATGTCTAAGTAATAATTTAAGTAACAATACAGGCTTAAAAAAAGACCTGCAATAGGCAGATTTAGATCTTGAATAATGTACGTTTAAAAATATAATTATAATTGTATGGAAACTGTTGGATTTCCTGTTAGTTTTCACATACTAAGGTTTTAGTACTCCTTGAACAAGTCACATCTGTGAAGGTAATTTTTTTTCAAACTAAATAAGTCACTATGAAATGATTACTACCCTAAGAAAAAATATAAAAACTTTTCCCAATGGCCTATAATCAAATATTCTTCCTACCTTGGAATTAGTTTTAATGTAAATAACTGTGATCCGACAATAATCCACAACGTGACTAATGTTTTAAAGTGTCTACTTGACAGAAGTTGACTAACCAATATACGCCACTATATAAATATACCTATATCACATCAATCTTATCCTGACACTTCTCGGTCTACACTTGAATTATTACATCTCTTCTCAATTTATACTTTTAAAAATGCAATTTCAGGTCAATATTTAAATAATAACACTATTAATCATTTACCTTAGATAGTCAGTGCAGGAGAACTGCATTACAGATAAAGAAATATAAACCAAGAAGACAAACCCACGGACAACACACTGACATTGTAAGGAATAAATAATAATAA